GTATGTGTGCATGTGTATGCGTATATGTACATGTTTTTGTATGTGCATATGCACATGCATATGCACATGTATTCATGTGTATGTGTATGTGTATGCATATGTGTAGATGTACATGTATAGGAAAATACATATGCATATGCATATGTGTATATGTGTATGTATATTTATGCTGTGTGTATATATATATATATATACTGACTGAGTGTACTTGTTTATGCCATGTTTATGTAGACATAATATGTATGTATATATATATATGTATACATATTCAGTCTTTCTCTAATGCATACCTGGCAGGTGGTCGGTACCGAGCAAAAAACAACCGTCGCCGTCAACGGACACAGCTAAAGTTTAAAGCCACGGATTTACACGCTACCTGACATGACGGGTGGTACAAACTGTCGGGAAAAGACCAGAACGACTAGAACAGAGCAGCGGGAGAATGTTCAAATCAAGCGCAGACTCATGCCGGTGACGTTTTGGGACCTCGGCAGACTCTTGACTGTGGTTACTCGCGAATCGCGAATAGGTTTGAAGGTCGGCAGGGCGCCAATTGCGCCTGCCAGACTCAGAGACATAAGCAACGTGAAGTGCAGCATTCACTGCCTTCCGAAGGAGTACGCATTCACCTTGATCACGGCACCCGTCTGTGTCACTTTCCGGTTGACATGCTTGTTCCGAACCTGGCTATGCTTGTAGCCAGGCGCTGTAAGAAGTTCTCCGCGAGGGTTCAAAAGGCCATGAGCAACGGACCATGCTTCAATCTGTACCCAGCTTCATGATGAATATGCATGAATATGCTGGCACGCGATGCAGAAAAAACACACTAATTAAGTGGCTCCTTGTGGTTGATCGGGCCGGATTTGAAACCCGGTCAAGGATGCCAGGTGTCACTGTAAAGGGCAGACTCACAGAGGACACAAACCAGTAAGTGGAGGTGAAGCCTTCAACCTGCGTCCAAGTCATTCCGTCCATTTACAATATCCTGGATGTGAGTCTAGCTGCGACACGAAAATCGACAGGGTACTGTACACAGCTACAGGCACCTACACTGCAACACGGGAAAAAGCAAAGCGGTACTCGAGTTTTGCAAATTCCTGTTGCGGTGGGAGTGTCTGCAGAGACGGTTGTGGCACGTCTCCTGCGATCAAGTCTTTGGATGCAGGCGCTGCCGGCTCAGGAGTCACGGAAGCCGTCGCCAGCCTGTCTGCGAAACAGTGACACATATGACGAACACAAGCATCTGGACAGTAAGTTTCAGACATAGTAGGCCCTGCGGCCCAAATACTCTTCAATTCGAAGTAGCTGGTTGTACCTGACGCGGCAAGGTTCAACTGGCACTTTCCAGCTCTGCTTGGATCGGCACTTTGCGACTCTTTCGGAGCGGCAGGGGGCGCCGGTCCTGGATGAAAGCGCGAAGAGACGAGATGAGCCTCCCAAAAGCCGCTCAGGCTGCCGCTTGATCTGGCCAGTGCTGAGGCCGACTGCCAGGTCTGCCTTAGCATCTTCAAGGCCATGCCGGAATACTGATAATTAAGCCGACTGCCAGGGTCTCAGCAATGAATGTGTCTTCTGTCTCACCACTGCGGTGAGAAACCTTCCAAGCTTAGCATCGATCACGGCAAATAACTCCTTAACGAGTCTACTATCATGAGGACTTGGCCATGACACCCCAGCCATCTGCGTGGCTGTCAAGATAGGCTGTTACAGCCTGCAAGGCTGTGAACTGCATGCTGTGTGCAATGTGCGCCTCATGCTGGGCCTCGCTGATGCTTCCAATCTGGTTGACCTTAAGAAGCAGGGCGTTGGCAGCCTGCAACAAGATTCGAGGTTGAACTGACACAAGCCACTCAGACTGTCCGCCTTGTGCTCCTTGGCATACTCAATCCTTTTCGGATTCGTAACAAGCCTCGCCAATCCCACACTGCACAAGGCCGACCCAAGCACTTACAATACACGACGGGCGTCACCATCTTAGAAGCTCGCAGGTCATCGCCAACTATCTGGACATCATTGCCGACATCCTGCTTGAGCCACATGTACAACATCTCAGATTCAGGCGCCATCTACATCTGGATGGCTCCCCAGAGGCTTGCAAAGCGTCAGTGCCTGCACCATCTGGCCATAAGCCTCCCAGTCATCCTGTGACTTAGACTGCGAAGCATTGGCAATCGTACACAGACGAGACTTCTGCCTGGTCAAAGGGATCCTCTATCGACACGATCGGATATCTGACAGACAGCTACAGCCAAGGCTACCACGAAGTACGCATTGCAGTGAGCAAGATGATGCCCGGCACCGCCATGCCTGGAGATGATGTCCTTGTAGAAGTCCATGAGCTGATCTTTGTTCTTGACCAAGGATGGATCTGGATTGTCAACCTGGCTGAATCCATCTGAAACGCTCGCCCGCTCGCGGTGTTTTAACTCTCTTCAAGATGGCCTTGAAGCCAAGGTTGTAGGTCTTGTCCTGCTCTTCTGTCATGAGGAAAACTCCACAGCTCCGCCAGTCCGCCCAACGGAGATAGTGAGGGAGACAGAGATGTTTCCCGAAGCTTGTGTGTCTCAGTACTTGCGTGTCAAGAGAGAGAGAGAGAGAGAGAGAGAGAGAGAGAGAGAGAGAGAGAGAGAGAAAAAAAAAAAAGAG